AATTGTCTTATGATGAAAGAATGCATTTTAATCGGCTTTATCATTAACTTTTAGCTACAAAAATGTTATCTAAATAAAATTGTACGAAGTTTTTACACTTTATAAGGCTCGTGCTCCCCTACGTACAACATTCAGTACACTTTCTCATTAATGAAATGGAAAAGCGAACCCTGAAAATCAAAATTTTTATTGCCTTCACGTAAATTTTACACCACTGCTTTTCAATAGAATCGACGGGAAATGCGACACTGCAGTGCGGGCCAAAATGGCGCTGTGCAACACTGTAAAATGGGGGAAAGGACTTCCTGCAACGCTGCTCTGTTTCTTTTCACCCGAGCTTGCAGTTTTAAGTGATTAAATTGAAATGTATTAGTGCGCCAGACTGTGTTTCGGCGACTTTGTTGTGACATACATCGATGAGGGCGTCGAGTGTGTGTGGGCCGTAAATCTCGACGCCCCAGCTCATTTGGAGCAGTAAATGTTCGAAAAGCGACAGCAATTAAAAGCGGCAAACACCGAAGGAGCATAAAAACTGCGCTGCAGCCTCCTCCTAAGACCACTTAACAGTTCCTTAAGGATCCGTAGGATACGCCCTTCAATTTCCTTATTCCTCTCGGGCAACACTGTTGCCCAAATGCCAGTCGTAAAACGTCGAAGATTTACGCCACTTGGTCTAGAAAATGACATAATATCTTGTGGGAGCGATGCGTTTCAAAGTGCAACAGGACAAATGAAAATCTTAGTCGATTATCGTGAAAATGCAGCAGGAGCAGTGCATTCACTTGCTTCGAAACACCGTACAAATCCGTAAATAACAAACTTTTGGTTGTTTCGAGATTTACGAGTCCCCAAGTAAGTCGAAGAGCTTTTACTGATTTTAGTTGACTTGCCCAAGCCGAAGTGTTTCTGCCTTAGGTAATAGCTGAAAATAAGTACATTAAATTCCCGAGGAGTGCGTATTAAAATTGGTTCACTTGATTCACCATATCTCATCTTCCTATCATATCTTCCCCGTTGCCGCATTAATCATACGCACCGTGTTCCCAGCTGGCGTTCTGCAGGAAAATACTGACGGGAAAATTGCATTTGATAACTTCGTTTTAAGTATCTGCATTAATAGCGCAACCGCAAGAGCTGCATATAAAGTTAATGCCCCGCGCAGGACGAAGTAACAATGGGGAAAACGCAGGACTCCGCTTTACCGCAGGAAAAGCGATTAAAATACAGCACAACGATTTATCCAATTTATGGGGCAACATAACTTTGGGACTCAGCAGGAAGAGATTTGGGGACCGCGGCAGAGAATGGCTTTCGGCGTTATAAAACCAAATGATTCTATTAAAATAAGATTTGTGCCAATCAAGCGAAAATCAATCTGCCCGCTCTCCATTTAGTTGCCCGCTGTCAGCTATCAGCTATCGGCTCTCGGGAAATCATAAATATTTCACCCACCTTGTTGAAGACGACAATAAAATATTCATTGCTTGTTTATTGAATGTAATTTAACAACACTTAACCCGCTCAAGGGCGGAGGGCCAATCACGGCAAACCTGAGCGGGAAAGCGGTAAAGCGGTAAAGTGGGAAAGTGGAGAAAACCCGGGCAGTCCGGTGGAGTCATCAAAGGATCTATTACGTGGTATTTAATCAGATTTTTTACGACCCACCCACAATAAAAATGTAAATAGACACGAAAGGATTGGCCTAGTCGCCGTCCCTGTCCCTGTCCCTGTCCTTTTGTTGCTGAGGAAAAGCGACTGGGAAAACTCCCTTTCCCTTCCCCCCTGCCACTGACCACCACTTAACTTTTCTGCTACGTTTAATGTTTGCCATTCTGTTCTGTTCTGTGCTGTTCTGTCCTGTTTTCCGTTTTCTGGGCCCTAAGCGTCTTCATTTTGGCAGTTGGCTGACTTCGGCTTTTATGGCCATATGCCAGCGCTGGGCCATAAAAAATATGGTTTTACGAGCGGCGGGGGGTTAAGTGAAAATGTCCATCGATAAACCCAATCAGTCAGCGAGTTCGCCATTCGAATTCGGCCCGTGCTCAATTATATGTCCAACATTTTATTATGTAAAGAGACCAAAACTTCCACTTCGGAAAGGAAAAATTATAGATCGTCTTGGCAGGTGAGCTGTGCGTGTAATTAATTTCCAGTGGCTGGTAAAAACTTGAATTAGCTTGTTCCCCATTTGAAGGCTGTCAGGCTAGAACTGCGGGAAATTCACCTGGATCCACCCCGCCTCCCAGGAAAACTGCCAGCCATCCACTCGCCGTCATATTACATAGCATAATTAATTAATTTCTGCGAGACAACAGAGCAGCAGAGTATTTGACTGGCAAACTTGTTTGCAATTACTGTAATTTCATTTGCTTACCAGAAATACTTGACGGACGAAACTCAAGCTGAAATTTTAATTGTGCTCCAGTTTTGGCTTTATCGCCTTATTGTCGCTGCTGAGTTTTCTGATTTCTTCAATGTATTTGAACGTAAGCAGGCTTTGAGATACTTATTTGATAGACAGAGCAACAAAACTGCGAGCAGAAAATAAACAACGAAAAATATTAATTAAGACAGGTTCTTGTTTTTAAGGAGAAGAGAACAACTGAACTGAAGAGGTAAAATTATAACTGATTATGAAGACAAAAATAACACATCAATTATCTTCCTATGGATGCTATATGATATAGTCGTCAGAATTCGATTAAAATTAATTTGTAATTCAAAAGTCGATTGAAGCTGCTATTGAAATAAGCAAATAATATAAAGTTACAGAAAATAATAATAATAAGAAAAAATAAAAAAGAGTTTTAAGGTTTTTAAACTGATATTAGGCCACTTGTAACTTAATCTTATCCGAGACTCAATGTAAATTAAAATAACGTACTTGAAAGACAATACATTAAGCAGTCGCAAATTTAAGATTTTTTCCGAAAACACCCGATCGACTTCGCTCGAGATGAAAACGGGGCACCGCCGTTTTCCATTTTCATTTCAGGTTTGCATAAAGGTAGAACATTAACAGGGCCATATATAAGGATAATCTGGCTCTCGCTTTTAAAGCCATTGTTTGTCTCCATTGTGCGTTTGTGACTCTGTTTGTGTAGTGAGGGAAGGAAAATCCATAAATATAACTGTAACAGTTACCATTACGCTTTCCATGTCCGTGTTGCCTTGTTTTCACGTTGATTGTTACGTGTAGCCTGCACCGTTCGAGCTTTTCCCGCAGCATGCAGGCAAATTGGATTTTCATGCATACTTGGTCACACGCGCCTGCAAAGGCAGCCCAGAAACGGATGGCGAAGATTGAGATTGAGAGATGGCATGGCTGAGTATGGATACACAGGGCCGAGCCACGCCCATGGACAGAGTCCTTTCCAGAAGTGTCCACTGCTGGCGAGGGGAAAAGCCAAAAAATAGCTATTTTCTTGAATTGAAAATATGTTTTTATCTCACTAACTAAAAAATGAGTGTAATAGATATTGATTAAAGTGTATTCATTTTATTTGTGCTTACTTTTTACTGTACACATGTAGGGGTGTATTTTTTAAATAAAAACGCAAGGCCTGGCCACACTAAATATAATAAAACTGAATGTGTGACCATGAAGCAATAATAGATATTGATTAAAGTGTATTCATTTTATTTGTGCTTACTTTTTACTGTACACATGTAGGGATGTATATTTAAAATAAAAACGCAAGGCCTGGCCACACTAAATAGATTAAAACTGAATGTGTGACCATGAAGCTTAACTTTAGTTGCAGCAATATTTATGGGTATGAAAACAAAATTTCCAACAAAATGTCCTGTTACCTTGCATAAAAATTGAAAAGTGTCAACAAAAATTAAAGCTAAAACGACAACTCCGGCAGCGAGTCCCCGTCCAGAATTTGAAAAGTCTTCTCGCCTTCTGCTAAACGTTGTTATCTGCCGTATTCTCCGCCGCCTTGTCGTCTGTCCTCGGTGGCATTGTCCTTTTCCTTTTCGGTTTGTGTCTTATATCCTTATTCTGTGCTCGTTTGTGCGTTCGATTCCTTGTTCCCCGTTGTTGTCGCTGCTGGCATAAATTTATTATAAAATAATTTGCATAATTCGTTATTACTCAGCATAAACAAAGTGAAATTAAGACGATTTCTTTTTATGCCTTCGCCGCGCCCCTTCGCCACTTGACTCCATTCCGAATCCATTCTCGCAGACAATCCCCGTGCCCTTTTGTCTCGACTCCTGGCTGCTCCGTGTCTATTTTGCCAATGTGATATGTTTAGTCAAAGGCTCAGTCCGCCCGACATTCGCCTGAATCATTTTGATGCTGAACGTCCCAGGATTTTCCCGGGCCACCTTTGTCGCAGCTGCGCGAATTTCCAAATCCGGGGCTTTTGTCTTCGCAGGAAAGTGGAGGAAGAAACACCGAATATCCAATGCATCCATCCAGACTGAGCCTCGTATGGCTTAATACTTATGATTATTGTATATCTATTTGCATGATTTCGAAAAAGGGATCCGAGAGTCGGCACAGTGGGATTTGGAGGACTTTTCGGGGATTTCACCGAGAAAACAAGCAAGGAAGCCAGTATCGGCATCCCAAAGCTTATATACCCTTGTAGTAATTTCGAACGAGGATATTTTATGAATTTGTGTGTTGCTTTACTTTTGCAGAGGGTCTTACATTTTCGGTCAGGAGTTTGCAACGTAGTGAAGGACCCCCTATAGCATAAATATATAAATTTGAGCAGCATCACCATTCGAATCGATAAAACCATAGCCTGCCAGCAGGCAAGGTTGTATACAACTTTAGTTTAAAAAAAAATAAGTTTTGGTTAAAAAACTTAACTTGAAGCCCAAGACGATCGGCCGTTTGTATCTTTAGATTCGGTTTAAACAGATTTAGGTATTTGCAAATGAAAATTTTTTTATTTAGATTAATTAGCTTACATTAAATTACAAGCTTTTAATTTTGATTCGGAAAGTAAGATATAAAAATAATACAATAGTGAATGTTTTTTTCTTTTTACCTACAAACATATTTAGGAAACGCATTTAGTTTATATTTGCATTGCATAATTTTCGACAAATTCATTGCTCAGTTGTCAATGTTGCTTTTAAAATATAAAAGTTGGCGATGGTGTTCCTATTTTCATCTTAGTTATTTTAAAAGTGTAAAATAATATCATATTCATGATTTTTTTTACACAATCTTTTTACCTTTTGTAACTTTTGATTAGGATATGCCACCTTGAAAAACCCTGTATAGATTAGAATAGATATAGAATGCTAAATAGTTAATCTTTTTACCCTACCATCAGTTCCATTTTTGAAAGTTTTTACTTTGATTTTCTTCATGTCCTATGAAGCACACCCCTTAGTTTTATTAATCCCATGCAATGGATGTTTCACTAGTACTGATTGGATCGTACTACTAGATTTTCCATTCCGTGACTGCACCTGTAGTAGGAAAAACACTTTTGGTAGGTTTTAGGAAGCTTAGCTGAGTAGAACCGGGAAAACTAATACGTCTACATCAATAATCATGGAGGAGGTGATCATATAGTTTCTCCCGCAAGAGTACTGTAATTTATCTTGTAGAAGGACCAAGTTGAAAAACAGTTTTTTTTTGATGAAAGATACTTAATTCCGGTTTCCTGGGGAATTCTGGAGCACCTGCCGAAGTTGGTACTCCCCGAAAATGTTCACGGCGATGCAAGATGTTGATATTTGATTTATGGGTGGAGCACTCCTGGCCTGCTCACTTCGCCAACTTTCCACGTAGCTGACCAGTTCCAGGAACTTGACACATCCGACGCCATTTTGCATAGACACACAGATACACACACACAAACATTTAAACAAGTACACAGATACACAGATACGTTCATATCCCCGCAGACAGCCATAGGTGGAATACATTCTGTAGCTTTTGAATGCTAACTGAGTTTACTTTTCAATTTGATTTGGTTGTCTAAGCAAATAACGGGCGGCAGCTCGCAAGTATAAACAAATGGATGTACTTACAGTGGGTTCGTTCGGCATTCGGTCTGTGTGTGTGAGAGCGAAAGAGAGGGAAAGAGGTTGGGATAGTTGATACTTCAGATTTTAATAGCCTGTCTGAGGAGCAGAGCGTCCTGCCCTCGTCCAATCTCCGTGCAAAGGCACTGCTTATCAGGCCAGTAAGTAAATATTGCTCACGTTAACTTATACAAATAGGTCCACAAACAGTGGGCACTGACCATTGGGAAACCTAAGGCAAAAGGTCACCGAACGATAATATTTTCAAAGGCAAATGTGTTACAAATGAAAAGATGTTTTGCTGTGGAGCTCCTGCTTTCCTAGAACTATGCCAGCAAAAATCCAATTTACAAAGGAAATCTTTTTTGAAATGAAGAATTGCAGATATAAATAATATTATCTAAGTAATTTAGCATTAAATTTCACGAGATGGTTGCAAATTGCTGAGACGCAACTATTTTTAAAGTGCATCGTCTTAGGAACGTGTAACTTTGCGCTTGTTAATGCCCGGTCGAATCCTGCTGTCCTTCCTGTTGGGTCCTTCCTTTGGACACACACAAGCACACACTCACACACACTCTCTTATTTATTGCCTCTCTGCTTACCTTTTGTTGAACGAGGGAAAAGGCACAGACAGCAAAGGGAATACCATTTCAAGTCTTTTTCAAGCTGCTTTAGTGCAACCTTTTTCTGAGTTCTGCAAAACAACACACTTCAATAAATTACCCTAAACTCGCTTCATGTGATCCATCATTAAATTAAACTTGTAGCCATAACAGTTCGATAATTCAATAAGTTCGCTCTCAGCTTTGAGCTCTTGAAACATTTTTATACCAATAAAAGAATAGAAAAATTGTGTAATTTTCCTCAAGATTCCTTTGATTAATAAATAACTAATATTCTGTTTACAAAATCAAATATATTAATTGAGGTCTTAAAAACCCCGTTTAAAGTTTTCCAAACTAAGGAGCAAAAAGTTATTTTAAAAGGTCATTGATACTGTTTAAATTGTGGGCGCAGATATGGGCGTGTCCAATTTTTACAACGACCTTACGCTGTGTGAGTAGTTCGTCTAGTTCCTGTAGTTATCGGTTAAACACGTTTCCTTCTGCCTCTTACTGCTTTGCAAAGAAATTCTCTGAAAGAAATGGGAATAAATGTAGAGAGAGGCTGGGTGAATATTTCTTTGTTTTCATTTTGGTCAAGTTGATTTCGGACTAGCCTCTTCGTGAAATTCATAAGGCAAATATGCTAAAATGGTCAAACAAAATGTTCAAAATTCGTTTTGCACATAAAGCGACGCCGCCAAAAGGCAGGACTGTCCTGCTGCCGAGGATGATTTTTGGTTTGGTGGGCGGTGGATTCGCGGCCTTGGGGCCAAAGGAAAACGCTAAAGCGGGTAATAAAATTGTGCTCATTAAAGCAAAGCCAACTGCTCCCCCCGGCGAAAACGTAATAAAGGTTAGAGGAGCAAACGTAACCCCGAATCGGGTCCAGCCTTCTTCCGCCCAGTGGAGAGGGGAATATAAAGAGGGCGCTGGAAAAATAAAGAAAATCAAAGACAAGTGCACACCGCAGCTGGGTCGCAAGAGAAGAATCAGTAATCAAGAGTTCAGCAGTGGATACAATGTGCACGAGTGTGTGAGTGCACATATGTGGGGTTAGCCGTCTGGAGTGTGTGTGTGTTTGTGGGAATGTGTGGGTGGATACACGCGAAAATCCGCCTTCATTTGTGGCTTAAAAAGGGATGAGTAAATATTGGTAAGCACGGCTGGCATAATTGTGAACCTTCCTTGGAGTAAAATATTTATCGAACAGATTATGCGACTAAAAGGTTTATGCCACAAAAATTCAGTAGAAAGCTAACCGATTTCGCACAGTGCATGTGGTCTGTGCCACGAAAGCAGTGGACGTCCTTGCTGCACATGTTGCCATGAATACGAATTGCATTTTCCGAGGGGAAGGTGGAAGGGTGAGGGGATTGGTGGGGGCGGTAGGCCTGCGAGCTGCAGAGGCAGAAAGTCAAGTTGAAAGACGAGGCTCGGCCTGTTTTTGGGGGTCAACTGTTAGTCAGCCGGACACCACAACCACACCCGCACCACACCCGCACCACAGCAGCACCGCACCAGCACCGCACTCTGGAGCACCACTCGACGGTGGGCCGAGAACAAGATTATTTAACCAGCGGCAACATGCACATGTGGAGGGCCAAAAGGATAAGCCAGAGAGCCACATTCGGAAAACAGGGCCAGCAAAGTGTAGGCAAACAAGCGAAAGAAAGCCAAAGAAATGTTAATGGCTCTCGGCCTCCGCCATCTCGCTCTTCCATTTGCCCATTGCCGTCTCTGTCTTTCACTGACTGCACGGGGAAAAATATTCATACGAAGTTTTCTTCAAAAAAATCAGGGGAAGCTCAGATCAATAATCACTTTGGTTCTGTGCATAAGTCTTTGAATGGTTTCGAAAAGTGTATAAGGTTAGGGCATCAAACGAATTTCTGGCCATATATCCAATTGCAAGTTGCGAGTTTTTAGTTCTGGACGTTGTTTTAAGTCGCAGAAGTTCGGCTTCACATGCCAACCCAAATTTTCTCAGAACATTTGTGTACTTCGTCCTGTTGTTGCTGCAGGCAAAGTTTTAATAAAGACAAGGACACAAGCGCTGAACAATTTCGGCGCAAAACAGAAACAAAACAAACATTTGATGCTCAAAATAAAAACAAAAGCGACCGAGACCGAGCACACAAGGCAGAAGATACAGAGCCCAGAAGCCAGCAGCCAGAATCCAGCTGTAGATACAGATGCTCAGATATGTACACACGGGCTGAAAAGTGTAAGTCAAAGCCAAAGAATCAAGTCGGAACCGGCGAGTAAGCCGTCTAATGAGAGCAGTCAAGCGTTTCCGCCTGCGAGGGTGAGAATTCGGCAGAACAGGCTAATTTACCGAGCTGCGCCGCTCATAAACATGTGTGCCTGGCATCACTGCTGGCCAAAAGGAGCTCTGCAGCATTCCGGAGCTCCTTCCAAAGGTCACAGGAGATTTTTCAAGCGGCAATGCTAAGCATTATTCAATTACCCCCAGCCATCAGCAACCAGGCACCCTCCTACTTTCACCCGCCAGCCCTGAGCGAATTATGTGTAATTTAATAATAAAATAAACAAACAATCACCGGCAGTGGAAGCATGGCTCAGCAAATTGGGTCCCTAGGGGTAAGATTACGGATAGAGGACTTCAAAGGGTTGATGGGGATGCCTACGTATAGTGGGCAGCAGTAGGCAGTAGGCAGTGGGCGGAGCAAAAGCAAAAGCAAAAGAACCGACGACCGACGTGTGTGGAGTGTGCACACACTCTGAATCTGAATCTGAATCTGAATCTGAATGGAGCCATGGATAATTCATTTACTCGATCGCATTAGCAAGTCAGCTACGATGTTTCACCTCAAAAGTCCGGGATTCGTGGTCCGAACTAATCCCTGCTCCATCGATAATGAGTTGGCTCCTTTGTCTTCCGTTTCCGTCTGGTTGCATGGTTTCCTCTTTGCGGCTTTCGGCTTTCGGCCGAAGATTAGCAGCCTTTGCAATTATTCAAATCGATTTCTTGTTGCGGTCAGACGAACAATGTGCGGTTCTGCGGTGACAAATCCGCTGAAACATTTATGAGCAGGTCAATTGCAAGCGCCGCCCAAGGTGGCAGCTGTGTGACAAGGCCAGGAGCGGAGGAGGAAGTGGGCGTATTGCAGCAGCTCATTTATAAATCATAGCTCCCCTCCCCTCCCCTACCACCTACACCTCCCCCTCCCCCTCCCCGCCTCCTCACCAACATTCGCTCGCATCGGAAACCATCGGAGCCCGGGGTCGATTTATAGCCAGGACCAAGTTTCGGGCTTAGGTGAGTGGCACAAGGACACGCGCGAATGAATTTTTGCTGGCGTATGACATTTTTACGCAAACACCATCCCATACCCACACACACACACACACACACACATAGGTAAAAGGCCTTAGTGTGAGAAAGAAAAACTGTAAGCCCAAGATTTATATAAATTAAAATAAAAAGGTTTTCAGTGGCGAACCTATGTATCAAATAAATTAAAAGATAATTGGAAGTGTCAAACGCGTTTTTAACACAACATCTGCAAGCTTTTAAGCAAAATAAAAATTGGAATGCCCAAAATTAATTGCGGAAAAGTGTACTAGGAAAATCAACACCTAATATACCCCTTTGATGATGATGATATAACAATATAGGTAAAATGTATCAATCGATGCTGAATTGCTATCCGTGGCAAATCAATATTTTGTAGGCTTCAAACAGACTTCAGTTAAGGCTCAATAAAAAATGTCTGATTCTTATAAACTATAGCTATACAATAGCTGATTCAGTCTCGTATTTCGCACAGTGCACTTGCGTTTGTGTTTGTGTTTGTGTGGAAGTGCCTACGTCAGCGCTGACCAGCAGCAACTTAAACGGCGCGGGGAAAACACAAAAGCCCAGTTAGTCATTGAAAGTCAAAGTCAAAGGCAAAAGTACAAAGGACCAATCCGATGGAAACATGCTGGCCTACGCAGGATAAACACGACCAAAAGCCCTGCCTAATTGTTATGGGCCGAATGTCTTTCTCTTCATCGGCCGAATTCCAAACGCGTTCGCAGCCGAAAAGGAACAGCCGAAAACTCCGGGAAGGAAGAAAGTATGGCGGAGAAAAGGTTTTGAATAAAGCGAGTGAAATTAAAACATCAAAAAAAGAATGCGTAAAAACTGGGAAAAGCAAAAAAAAGCGAACAACCAGAACCGTCAAAAAAAGTTCCGATGAAGTGGTCCAACTTCTGGGAATGCGAAGAGCAAAACAAAAACATTTCTTTCAGGCGAAAGTGGAAATGCCCTTTTTAAAATATCAAATTGTATTCTATTTTGTATTTTTTAAATAAGAAGTTTACTTTTGAGTTTCCAATTATTATTTCCTCTGACAGAACAGTTCATTTTAATATAACAACAACAATAGAAACATCCACTTTATGTTAAAGACTCTTTGGAAATCTATATAAGTATTAAATCTACGCAAATCCACACCTTTTAAAACACCGAAAGAGTATTAAATTAATTTCTCATTAAGTCGGTCAAAACCTCAAATTTTCTGCTGGCCGTTAAGCCGAATTTTATTAAAGTGTTTGGCTACCGGTAAACATAATTTGGAAACCCCTTTTTGTGATCCAGTGAAAACCGAGAGACATTAAAATGCCAAATTGTTGAATACGGCTAACAGAGGTGAAAAGTACAGGACCGCAAGTGTTTGCGGGTACGGAAAGGGATAAAAGTTTTTCCTAAGACATTTTCACCCTCCC